TCTCTATGTTTTCAAATCAGTCTTTCACATTGTTTATCATTTTGTCTCTCTCAAACTAACTTGTTCTTTACATTCAGGACGGCAAATGCTGGTTTGGTAACACGGTTGTTGATTTATGCAACAAATTACCGGATAGCATAAGTGACTTTGGATAACTGTGTTGTTTCAAGGGTAGGTTAGACATGTAGGTGAATGAGCTTGGGTGGATATAAGTACGAGCTGCCTCGTGTGGACCAATAGGCCTTCTGCAATTTCATTTATTCTTATGTTTTTATATGTGTCTCAGTGTCTCTCTGTGTCTCCCTGTGTCTCCCTGTGTCTCCCTGTGTCTCACTGTGTCTCCCTGTGTCTCCCTGTGTCTCCCTGTGTCTCTCTGTGTCTCCCTGTGTCTCCCTGTGTCTCCCTGTGTCTCCCTGTGTCTCCCTGTGTCTCCCTGTGTCTCTCTGTGTCTCCCAGTGTCTCCCTGTGTCTGTGTCTCCCTGTGTCTCCCTGTGTCTCTCCGTGTCTCACGTATGCCGAGTCTGTATTAAAAAATATACTCAGACGTAATTACAAATGGCTTGCCAGACTTGTTCAGATCGACAACAACAGGACTCCGGTGTCACCAATTATGTGTGAGAGACAAACTCTTGTAACTAAGCCACGATCCAAACATCCAAAGGCAAATAAACTCTTTCACACACACACACACACACACACACACACACACACACACACACACACACACACACACACACACACACACACACACACACACACACAAAGGTTAGCATACCGAAAGGGAAACTATGAGGGGATAAGAAAATTCCTAACAGATATAGCATGGGAAACAGAGCTCAGGGGAAAGACGGCCCAAGATATGATGGATTACATCACGCAGAAGTGCAAGGACGCAGCAAACAAGTTTGTCCCAGTCCAAAAGGAAAACAGAGAAATGAAGATGAGAAACCCATGGTTTAATCAAGGATGTAGGCTAGCTAAGCAGCAAAGCAAAAGGGCATGGAGAAACTATAGGAATAACAGGACACTGGAGAGCAGAGAAAGATACCAGAATGCCAGGAATGAATATGTCAGGATGAGAAGAGAGGCTGAAAGACAATACGAAAATGACATCGCAAGCAAGGCAAAGACTCAGCCTAAATTGTTGCATAGCCACATTAGGAGAAAAACAACAGTAAAGGAACAGGTTATGAGATTAAGGATAGGGGCGGAAGGATTCACTACAAATGACAAGGAAGTGTGTGAGGAATTGAATAAGAAATTCCAGGAGGTCTTCACCTTAGAACAAGGAGAAATTCCAGAGGTAAGTGAGGGAATAGCTAACCAGGAACCACTGGAAGAGTTTGAGATTACCAGTGGGGAAGTAAGGAAGTGTTTACTAGAGTTGGACGTGACGAAGGCTATAGGCCCAGATGGAATCTCCCCTTGGGTTCTAAAGGAAGGAGCAAGAGAACTGAGCCTACCACTCTCCATAGTGTATAACAAATCACTGGCAACAGGGGAACTGCCAGATATTTGGAAAGCAGCTAACGTAGTCCCGATATACAAGAAAGGGGATAGACAGGAGGCACTGAACTACAGGCCAGTGTCCCTAACCTGCATACCATGCAAGCTGATGGAGAAGATTGTGCGAAAAAAACTAGTGGAGCATCTGGAGCGAAGGAACTTTGTAACACAGCATCAACATGGGTTCAGGGATGGCAGGTCCTGCCTCACAGGGTTACTTGAATTCTACGACCAGGCAACAAAAATAAGGCAAGAAAGAGAAGGGTGGGCAGACTGCATATTTTTGGATTGTCAGAAAGCCTTTGATACAGTACCACACAAGAGGCTAGTGCGAAAGTTGGAGATGCAGGCTGGAGTGAGAGGGAAGGTACTCCGGTGGATAGAGGAATACCTAAGCAACAGGAGACAACGAGTCTGTGTGAGGGGTGAGGCCTCAGATTGGCGAGACGTCACAAGTGGAGTCCCGCAGGGGTCAGTCCTTGGACCTATACTGTTTCTGGTATATGTAAATGATCTCCCAGAGGGTATAGATTCGTTCCTCTCAATGTTTGCCGACGATGCAAAAATTATGAGGAGGATTGAAACAGAGGATGATAGTAGGAGGCTACAAGATGACCTGGATAGACTGAGTGAATGGTCCAACAAATGGCTGTTGAAGTTCAACCCGAGTAAATGCAAAGTAATGAAACTAGGCAGTGGAAACAGGAGGCCAGGCACAGGATACAGAATAGGAGATGAAGTACTTAATGAAACAGACAGAGAGAAAGATCTAGGAGTTGATATCACACCAAACCTGTCTCCTGAAGCCCACATAAAGAGAATAACGTCTGCGGCATATGCGAGGCTGGCTAACATCAGAACGGCGTTCAGGAACCTGTGTAAGGAATCATTCAGAATCTTGTACACCACATATGTAAGACCAATCCTGGAGTATGCGGCCCCAGCATGGAGCCCGTACCTTGTCAAGCACAAGACGAAGCTGGAAAAAGTCCAAAGGTATGCTACTAGACTAGTCCCAGAACTAAGAGGCATGAGTTATGAGGAAAGGCTGCGGGAAATGCACCTCACGACACTGGAAGACAGAAGAGTAAGGGGGGACATGATCACAACCTACAAAATCCTCAGGGGAATCGACCGGGTAAACAAGGATGAACTATTCAACACTGGTGGGACGCGAACAAGGGGACACAGGTGGAAGCTGAGTACCCAAATGAGCCACAGAGACGTTAGAAAGAACTTTTTCAGTGTCAGAGTAGTTAGTAAATGGAATGCATTAGGAAGTGATGTGGTGGAGGCTGACTCCATACACAGTTTCAAATGTAGATATGATAGAGCCCAATAGGCTCAGGAATCTGTACACCAGTTGATTGACGGTTGAGAGGCGGGACCAAAGAGCCAGAGCTCAACCCCCGCAAGCACAATTAGGTGAGTACAATTAGGTGAGTACACACACACACACATACACACACTCAGTCATTGCAGCCTTCTCCACTATAATTGCTTTTCATCTAACTGGGATGTAGTCGAACTGTCCCAAAAGATGGCTTCTTGACTTCATCCCTAGCAAATGCAAGGCAACAAAAGGGCGAAGGAGGTCAAGAGGAAACTTTAAGAACAGTACACAGTGAGGATAAAGCAGATTTAAGAATCAGAATCAGAGAAACTTGTAAACAAAAAAAAACATTACCATACACAGCTGGTAAACATTCGAACACATTTCAGAAACCGGGACAAGGAAATAATTTAGGAATCTACAATACCAACGTGAGACCAGTGATGGAGTATGCAGCTCCTACAAGGAGTGCTCTGCTAAAAAAAAATAATCGAGACGATCCAGAGAAATTTAGACTGAGGTAACTGGATCTCACAACATTAGATTAAAGACAGGAAAGAGGAGACTTAATTACGACGTATAAGATCCTAAATAGTATTGGCAGTTATGACCGGGTTAGCAGGTGTAACAGTGGAATAAGAGGCTTCAGTTAGATGTTAGAGACGCAGATGATCCCAACTGTTGCAAGTATAATTTAATTGAAAATAAAGTTAATGCGGAGATAATTGTTGAGTTCGATCCCCCTTTGTAAGATTGAAATGGTTCAGCACGTTCCCTTTCACCTAATACATCTGTTCACCATGCAGTAAATAGGCACCCGGGAGTCAGACAACTGTTGTGGGGTGCATCCTGGTGGAGGGTCATAAGTTCCACCTTTGAGGAGGACCTCGATACAAGCCTTAAGTATATACATACACAGGCTTCCTGTCCCCCCAACAAAGATAATTGTATATTCATATGTATGTGTGTAAATCACGAAAATTAATGCGTGATGAAAAATATGACAGTGTCAGACTACGGAGGAAGAATTGAAACAGGAATTTCCTTAAGTACTTTCGTATTTAATAATACATCTTCAGAAGGGTGAATGAAGATATACATATGAATATAATTCATATGTATATATCAGAAACAATAAGTGGGTTGGATTCCGTGTCATTAGACTACAGAAGTGACTAAATCCTTGTAACACTGTGAGATGTGTACCCTTAGGTGAGTACAATAAGGTGAGTACATGAGAATACGAGTACAATTAGGTGAGTACAGCTAGGTGAGTACACGCGCAGGTACGATTTTACCTGTTTTTCACTCTCACCACTCTCACTCTCACCACTCTCACTCTCTCCACTCTCACCACTCTCACTCTCACCACTCTCACTCTCTCCACTCTCACTCTCTCCACTCTCACTCTCTCCACTCTCACTCTCTCCACTCTCATTCTCACTACTCTCACCTTCAAAGAGTATCTTGATCACACTTAAAAAAAAATAGGATACAAGTAATTAATTCATAGACATTGACATTAGCACTAAATGTGTATTTTAACATATCAACAAACATTGTATTATACATAGGTTACACAGAAGGTCTCTTGCTCTATGGCGAAGCTGTGCTCTGCAGAACTCGCTCTGTTGGTACCGGGACAACATAAGGCTCTCTTCCTCTTCTACTCTCTCGAACTCTACAGGGGTGAGGACAGAGGAACCCTCAATAGAGTAACAGAAACTTATGGGAAAATATTGAAACTTAGAGGGGTGGAGAAGGAGTCACACTTGAGGATGAACTCATGCTTGAAGATGAAGAGAACACACTTGAGCATAAAGTCACCCTCGATGAGGATGCTCACACTAGTGGTGGACCTCACTCTTATGGCTTAAGACGAAAAAAGCCTTTCTTCTGATTAGAATTCCGTTTGTTCCCTGTCATGTGTTCCGTCTGATCCACTGGGATCTTTTCTGTCTGCTTTCTTGCTTGCAGAGTGAGAGTTTGAGAGTCGTGAGAGCTCTGGGCCAGAGAGAGAAAGAGTCCGTGCTTGGCTCGTACTCTGAGAGTCCGCGTCTGATTAAGAGCCCAAGGAGGACCTGGACTTCAGATCAGATTGAAAGTCCGGGGCAAACTTAGACTCATGGGAAGAGTATATAAAAGATTCGGACTCTAAAGACTAGTGAGAATCCGGATGTGATCTATACTCTGATGCAGAGCGAGAGTCCGCAACAGAATTGTAATTTGAAGATAAGTTAGAGTCCGGGGAGGACCTGTACTCTGGACTAGAGGAAGAGTCCGGGGAGGACCTGTACTCTGGACTAGAGGAAGAGTCCTGGGAGGACTTGTACTCTGGACTAGAGGAAGAGTCCGAGGAGGACCTGTACTCTGGACTAGAGGGAGAGTCCGGGGAGGACCTGTACTCTGGACTAGAGGAAGAGTCCGGGGAGGACCTGTACTCTGGACTAGAGGAAGAGTCCGGGGAGGACCTGTATTCTGAACTAGTGGTAGAGTCCTGAGCAGACTCTAGGTCAGAGTTGTCCTCCGAGTCGGACCTGTAGGCTGGGCCGAGCCAGTAGGCTGGATCAGGCCTGTAAGAAGGGCGAGAGACGGGCTTGTAGACAGGCTGGTAAGCTGGCCGTGGAGGGGGGTATTTTGCCTCGCCCTCGTAGGAGACCTCGGCTACGAAGCCGGAATCACCGTTGACGTAGTAGGTCACCTTCTGGAGGCGTCCATCCGGTAGGGGGACGTAGTAGGAGCCTTGAGTATTGTGGCCGTCTCGGGTCTCCTGGTGGCCGTACGAGGCGCCTCCTTCGTTGTCCTTAACCGCGTAGCTGAAGCCGTACTTGGCCGGTCTACGACCCACCTGCAATGGCAGAAAATCCGGCTTAAAATATTGTTGGTGGGGACGAGGACAGGTTGACTAGTTTTGCAGCTACCAGGGAGAATGTTATTAAACAAATTGTGAAACTCAAGCAAATCCCCAGGGCCGGATGAAGTGTTTGCCAGGGTGCTTAAGGAATGCAAAGAAGAGCTTTGCGAGGCGTTATCTACCATATATAATAAATCATTAGAGTCAGGCAGAGTGCCAGAGTCGTGGAAGGTTGCTAATGTGGTACCAAATTTCAAGAAAGGAGATAGATCACTTGCGTCAAACTATCGGCCAATTAGCTTAACCTCTATTGTCGGAAAGTTACTTGAATCGATAAATGCAAATACTATTTGTCTTCATCTTGAAAAACATAGATTAAAAACGAGTCACAACATGGTCTTACAAATGGCCGTTCATGTTCATGATGTTGTGTACCTAGACTTTAGCAAAGCCTTTGATACAGTGCCACATGAAAGACTGATTAAAAAGATAAAGGCTCATGGTATTAGGGGTGCTATATTAAGTTTGATATACGAAAATAAAGTCTAGCCTTGTGAAGTTTCATTGATTCTTATGTTCTTATGACAGATATAGAGAGACAGAAAAACAGACGTAGCGAGACAGACAGAAGTCAGTCAGAGAGTAGAGTGAGAAAGTGAGTTAAGTTAAAGAGTTTAATCTCACCTCATACGAAGGCTTCCTTGAGATTACAGCAGTATACTTGTCTATTTCTGCCGAGGTCTGGTCTTCCAGGGAGTGGTGGGATGGCACGGGATAGGACGGGGTGGAAAAGGGGATTGCAGGCCTGAACGTGGAAGGGTAAAGTGAAGTAGGAAGGGACGGAACAGGCCTAAACGTGGATGGAAAAATTGAAATTGGGAAGGACAGAGTAGGCCTGGACGTCACTGGACGAGCAGGAATGGGATAGTAAACTACAGGCTGAGTGGTAGTGGGATAGGAAGAAGGAGGGTGGAAGGAGATAGTTCGGATAGGCCTCTCTACACTAACTGGAGAGGATTGGACAGAATCAAAGAATTCAGGAGTTTCTTCTCTATCCGGGTGGGACTGGACGGAGTCAAAGAATTTAGAATTGAAGGATTTAGGGCGAATCAGGGAGTAGAGCGCATCGTTATCCATTGCGTCATATTTGGGAGGTGTTGGGTTAAACTGGACCTGATCGGATGTTCGTGGGCTGAATTGAAATATGAGAAAGCTGCTTTCCTCAGGGATAGGCTTCGATGAGGAGAAACTTTGATGTTGACTTAGGGCGTCTCTCTTCTCAAGTTCGACTTCCTCTTCGATAGGCAGTAACTGAAGAGGCTTGAAAGAACCAAGCTTCGACGATGCAGTATTGGATACGTTTTGTTTGGACGGGATGGCTGTAGGACTTGGCACATTGAGCGTCGTTGGAGCAACTGTCAACAAGTCAGGCTGAACCACATCATGTTCTGATAGAGAAGATCTGAGCTGATCATTATTTGACAAGTTGGGGCCAGATGGATCAGATCCTGTCAGTGGAGGTTTGGACGAGTCAGATCCTAAGAAGCTAAGTCTCGATGAATGAGGATCTAATAGCATTAATCTCGAGGGATTAGGCTTTAATTCAAAAGGTTTTGATGTTTCAGGCCTTTTGGAGATAAGTTTTGATGGATTAGACTGTGACAGGCCAAGTCTTGCCAAATCAGACCGTAATAGTCCAGCTGTTGAAGAATCAGACTTTATCAATGAATATTTAGACAGATCAGGCCACATTTGTGTTGATCTGAATGGGCCAGTACTCAACAAAACAGATTTAGATGAATCGGGAGTAAGTAGGATGTATCCAGGCTGATCAGACCTTATGTGTGTTACCTCTGATGGGTCTGTACTTTTGACAGATTTAGACGAGTCAGAATTTGAAATGATAAATCTAGATGAATCATGCGTAATCGATGTAGGTCTGGATGGGGTAGGTGTGATCTCAAAAGATTTTGATTCATCGGATTTTAACTGGCTTGATACGGACGAGTCAGGATTTATTTGGTTATGTCTAGACGAGTTCTCTGACGATACAAATTGACTGGACGAGCCAGGATTTATTTGGTTATGTCTAGACGAGTTCTCTGACGATACAAATTGACTGGACGAGCCAGGATTTATTTGGTTATGTCTAGACGAGTTCTCTGACGATTCAAATTGACTGGACGAGCCAGGATTTGACAGGCTATGGCTGGATGAGTTAGTTCTTAGCTGCACAGGTCTTAATTGTTCATCATTTGAGTGGCTAACTTTTGAAAAGAGAAGCTGGGAGAAATCAGGTTTAGGTGGGGTAGGATGGGATGCAGAGGGTTGGGATAAGGAAGGTTTGGATGACACAGTCTGAGAAATGATACTCTGTTTTGCCAAATATTTTGATGAAACAGGCTGTGAAGCCTCTGTTTGAGATGTAATAGGCTGCGATCCCACAGATTCAGCTGGGAGAGGCTGTAATGGAACAACAAGTGGCTGTAACACTTCAGACTTGACCAGACTGTTGTTAAACGAAGCGGAATCCGGAGTGGCAAGAATAGTACCCATAAGGCTCGCCAACAACAGTACCTGCAAGGGAATGATAAGTTGTAAAAATACCTAAACATATTTACTGAAGATGTTATCAAAGGTCAGACACAAGCATTTTGAAAGATCGTAGAATTATCATCCATTTTGATCACGGAACAATGAGTATATATTTATTTCTTGCCCTAAGGAGTGTAATGCTAACATACAGCAGCCATATTCCTTCAATGTAATGACTGCGCTTGACAAATGGAGAATATATCGAGAAGTATACCCTGCTTCTTGGTAAATATACACTGTAAGTTTGCTTTAGATCTGGGTTATATTCAGGACTAAAGTATACTTGTTGGTTGATCATTAAACAATAATGGTTGTTTTAATAATCCTCTAGAGGTTGTTAAGTCTCAAACCAACAATAAACTTGCTGGTTGGTCAGTAAGAGAGAGAGAATGAAAGAGTGAATGAGAGAGCGTGGATAACAGAGAAAGAGAGAGAGAACTTTCACCAACTTTCAGCGATTTCTACCTGGGGTAGGAGATGGCAGGTCACATTTGCGGCTAAGACACAAGCGATGATGATAACTAGACTGCACATGGATCAACAGAGGGCTACTAGAGTTCACTCAAGCAAGTGCAAGGTGATAAACCTACCTGCTGGGAACAGCATGATAGTCCCACGGTACGAAAAGATAGAGAGAAACTTAGAGAAAGAGATAAAGACCTAAGGGTTGACAACACCTCGAACCTTTGACTTGAAGCCCATTTCAAACAGATATCAGCAGAGGTGTATGCTAAGTTATCCAGTATATAAACTGTAGATACTTCAATAAGGAAACATTCATGCAACGTATATCAGACCAATCCTGTAATATGTGTCCACAGGCACACCATCAGACGAGTCCCACAGATGATAAGCATGAGTTATGAAGAAAAACTAACTGAAAATCATAACACTGGCAGATAGAAGAATTTAGAGGACACATGATTACCACATACAAAATTATTATGGAAACTGATGGGACAGACAAGGATACATTATTTGGAATGAATTGTAAATGAAGAAATTGGAATCCACTAAGAAATCAAGTGCTTTAATGGTACTCTGAACATACCTTCAAACGTAGCAATAACAGAATCCAATATGCTCAGAAACCTTTACACAAGTAAGATAAAGGTTGAGAGGCGGGTCCACAAAACTGAAGATAATCCCCAGCAATCACAACAAGGTTGTTACAACTAGGAGAGTACACACACACACACACGATAATAGCAACAGATAATCAACAAGGATTAGTGCTGACTTGAGAGGGACTTGTGAGAGGGACTTGTGAGAGGGACTTGAGAAAGGGACCTGAGAGAGGGCCCTGAGAGAGAGACCTGAGGCACCAGGACCTCGCCACTCTAGAAGAGTGAAATAATAAGACGGACATGATAACGACATATAAGATTCTAAGGTTCTAAGGCAAATTAGACGAAGCCATATTCACTGTTAGGAATAGCAGAACAAAGAGGAATAAACGGAAACAAAAGACAAAAATAGATAATAGAGATGTCAGAATTTTTTTGTCAGTGCTTAGAGCTATCGAAGAGTGAATTAAATGTATTAACGAAGAAATTTTTAGGTTATCATAGAACACGATTTAAAATATAAATATAACATGAAAATCGTGATAACTGAGTCGGTTCACTAAACTACTCCACGTTAGGAAGGTGGGGCTGTGAGCTGAAGCTCGACCAAGCAAATAAATTTACTTCAATACATCTACATAAATACTCTTAAGCACACACACGAGTAATTAAGTAATAGTAAAACTCATTATACGTCCATTTTACAATGGTTTGGGAAGCCAATGACGAGAGCCAGTAACGACCCTTAACTTCCTTTAAAACTATACCCCATAAATCCCGTATACAACAGGAACAGAAGAAGTATGAAATAATGTTGACCAGACCACACACTAGAAAATGAAGGGACGACGACGTTTCGACTTGAGAATGGTCCATGACGGACCGAAACGTCGTCGTCCCTTCACCTTCTACTGTGTGGCCTGGTCATCATTCTTCAGCCACGTTATTGTGACTCATCGCCTGTAAGTATGTAATAAGTCTGGACAGACAGCGTCTGGGATGCTCTCGAACGTAGGTTCGAATCCTCGTCACGACCCTTGTGAATTTGTTCATTATAGAATAAGCCTGTTTGCCACCATACCAGGCATGTATTTAATTAAATCTCAATAATTTCAAAACAAAATATATCCGTTTCAAGCACTTACTCTGGATGTCATCGTTGCACTTTCTCAAAACAAACTGATACCATGAGGCTCTGACACTCGCCTTTATACCTAAGACTTTCCCACACCGGCGCTCCATAACGAGAAAGCAATCCGATTGGTGGGAAAAAGCTTCATTTTCAAGATGGTCTGTTTTGATTGGCCGTGATTGGCAGCATCTTTGGAACTCCTTAGTGTCACGTAGAGCCCAAATAAAATGCCAGCTTTCTCCTGATGATTGATCTAACTGTTATAGATATATATCTTATATTTCTCCTCTGAAATTTAATCCTAATTGCTAAAAGATCTATTAAAATGTTGTAGATTTGGGTAATTAATGACCCTAAACTGCACAGCACCGGGGATAATGGCCTTGTTAAGTTTGCTGAGTGTGATTACTCCTTGGTGTGGGTTTGAGTGCGTCTATGTGAAGGTGAGTGCGTTTAGGTGTGAGTCTGAGTGTGTCTAGGTGAAGGTGAGTGCGTTTAAGTGTGGGTCTGAGCGAGGCAAGGTGTGTGGTAGTGTGTAGTTGATTATAAGTGGGTTTAGGTGTAGGTCAGAGTGCTTGGGCGCTGCTGAGTGCATCTTGGTGTAGGGTTGAGTGCGTAGGTGACGATTATGGGACGGAATGTGGCTGAGGGGATGGATGTGTGTGTTTAAGTGCATCTTGGTGTATGTTTGTGTGCGGATCTGAGTGCTTGAATGCGTTTAAGTATATACAAGGGACTGGCTATGTGTTTGCATTTACTTATTTGACTCAGTTCTTGCACCAGTAATGTTCATCGTCTACATAAACCATCTACCAAAAGGAACACAGAATTATATGAACATGTTTGTAGATGATGCTAAGATACTGGGGAAGATAGGAGACGCAGACGATTGTAATGCTCTTCAAATTGATCTAGATAAAATGAGTGCTTGGAGCGACAAATGGAATTCATTGTGAGAAAATGCCATGTTATGGAATGTGGAATAAGAGAAAATAAACCACACACAACTTAGAAATTATGTGGAAAGGAATTACAGAACGCTAATAAAGAGATCTAGAGTGCTTTTGGATAGTAAAATGTCGCCAGAGGAACACACAAAAACATTGTGAGAGGAGCGTATGCGTCGCTTTTCAACTTGAAACTTGCTTTTAATTATATGGATGGTGAAATACTGAAGAAACTGTTCATGACCTTCGTGAGACCAAAACTGGAATATGCAGCAGTTGTATGGTGCCTAAATCTCAAGAAGCACATCAATAAACTGGAAAAGGTACAGCGACATGCTACTAAATGGCTTCCGGAACTGAAAAATAAGAATTACGAGGAAAGGCTAGAGGCATTGAATAGGCCAAAACTAGAAGACAGAACAAAGATCACAACTTACACAATAATAACAGGAATTCTTGAGATCTTGAGGTTATCTTGAGATGATTTCGGGGCTTTTTAGTGTCCCCGCGGCCCGGTCCTCGACCAGGCCTCCACTCCCAGGAAGCAGGCCGTGACAGCTGACTAACACCCAGGTACCTATTTACTGCTAGATAACAGGGGCATAGGGTGAAAGAAACTCTGCCCATTGTTTCTCGCCGGCGCCTGGGATCGAACCCAGGACCACAGGATCACAAGTCCAGCGTGCTGTCCGCTAGGCCGACCGGCTCCCATTGACCAAATTGACCAAATTGTCAAACAGGAATTCCTGAAACCAGCAACTTCAGGAACAAGAGGACATAGATTTAAGCTAAGCAAACAAAGGTGCCGAAAAAATATTATAAAGTTTTGTTTTGCAAACAGAGTGGTAGACGGTTAGAATAAGTGAGGTGGTGGTGGAGGCCAAGACCGTCAGTAGTTTCAAAGTGTTATACGATAAAGAGTACTGGGAAGACGGGACACCACGAGCGTAGCTCTCATCCTGTAACTACTCTTAGGTAATTACACATACACACATGCACACATACCCATCCTAAAAATGCAACCCGTAACTGTTTTCTAACTACTAGGCACCTATTTGCTGCAAGGTGAACAGAGGTATCAGGTGAACGAAACTCTGCCCATTTGTTTCTGTTTCGACTTGGAATTTAATCCATGACTTTAAGACTACAACCCCAGAGCGCTGTCCACTCGGCTGCGAGGATATGTGTATTCACCTAGTTGTGCTTGCAAGGGTTAAGCTCTGGCTCTTTGGTCTCGCCTCTCAACTGTCAATCAACTGGTGTACAGGTTCCTGAGCCTACTGGGCTCTATCATATCTATATTTGAAACTGTGTATGGAGTCAGCCTCCACCACATCACTACCTAATGCATTCCATATGTTAACTACTCTGACCCTGAAACAATTATTTCTAATGTCTCTGTGGCTCATCAGGGCACTCAGTTTCCACCTGTGTCCCCTAGTGCGTGTGCCCCTTGTGTTAAATAAACTGTCTTTATCTACTCTATCAATTCCTCTGATAATCTTGTATGTAGTGATCGTGTCTCCCTTAAGTCTTCTGTCGTCCAGTTACGTGAGTTTTAGTTCCCGTAGTCTCTCCTCGTAGCTCATACCTCTCAACTCGGTTGCTAGTCTGTTGGCATACCTCTGAACCTTCTCCAACTTAGTCTTGTTCTTGACGAGATACGGACTCCATACTGGAGCTGCATACTCCAGGATTGGTCTGACATATGTGGTATACATGGTTCTGAATGATTACTTACGCAAGTGTCTAAAGACTTGTGTTGTTATCTAAAGTTCTTATGTTGACCAACCAGGCATATGCCGCTGATGATATTCTTTTAATGTGTGCTTCTGGGACAGGTTGGGTGATGTCAACCCTCAGATCTTTATGTCTACTTGACTCTAGAAGGATTTCACCTCCCAGATGGTACCTCGTGTCCGGCCCTCTGGTCCCTACACTCTTATCACTTTACACTTGCTTGAGTTAAACTCTAGCAGCCATTTGTTGAACCAGTCCTTCAGATTATCCAGGTCATCTTGAAGCCTCATGCTGTCATCCTCTGTCATAATCCTTCTCATAATTTAATCATCATATAACATTGAGTGGAATGAGTCTATACCCTCTGGAAGATCATTTACATGTATCACAAGTAGGATAGGTCAGAGTACAGAACCCTGTGGGACTCCACTGGTGACATCTCACCATTTGAGTGTATTTACTATTTGTGACTGTTGGATCGAGTTGTTAGCTCTTGGACCTCGCCTTTCTAACTGTTAGTTAGTTCTCTAATGTACTGCCGCTCGAGCCCTTGGTTTAGGGCGTTTTGTATATATATATATATATATATATATATATATATATATATATATATATACATATATATATATATATATACATATATATATATACATATATATATACTTTAGAACACTTTCCCACCAGGAGACTCGAACCCTAGCCAGCCAGCCCGTCCTCCAAAAATGGGGTGGTAAATGTAAGGAGACAAATAAGTGCAATTATGTACTATTCATAGCAGTTAGGAATTGTACTTATTTTCACTTAGTATTAAATCGTACTGTCAGATATATTGTGAATATTTGAGTTTACCCCAAAAACTGAATAGAAAACCACAACCTCACCTAACCGTCTTAGTTTTTTAAGATAATAATTTTATTGCTTCTTAATTACAATTAGTACTTAACCTATAGCTATATTGATATTACAGTTTTATAAAACTAATAAAACAAAACTAAAATATATCAATAAATTGTAAAATAACTCAGGATATTTTAAAATTTTGTATAAAATCTATATTGTTTAATAAACCAGAAAAAAAATTCTTGATATTTAAAACTTGTGTATTGCAAATTGAAATTGAAAATTTCATCCTAAAATTCTGTGTGTCTTAACAGAAAACGAGGGGAATTAAATCGGGGGAGGGAGTTGGGTAAATGTAACAGCCCCATAAGTGCAATTATGCACTGGTTATGACAGTTAGAAAGTGTACTTATTACACTTAGTATTAAATCGTACTGTCAATTCGGAGGATGGGTTGAGCCAGTACAGAAGCCTTCCAGCAACTGGCATAACAGGTACGCCTTCCAGTTGCTGGAAGGCTTCGTGCTGGCTAGGGTTCGAGTCTCCTGGTGGGAAAGTGTTCTAAAGTTGTATACTTGACTCTCGTGTTTAGGAGAGTTGTGCCTATATATATATATTTTTTTTTCGCAGCCCTGAATTGTGGTGGGTAGTAGTGAGTTCCCAGAAGTATACTATTGGTCAAGATATCCCGTTTTCCTTGGATGAATTTTAACATCTAGTTTCCTATTTTCTCTCATTTAATCGTTCCCAACCTAAATAATATATATATTTCTCTAGTTCCCTTTTGTTATAAGTATTTACGTATGGCGATTATTATGCCATTAAAACTTGTATAAATAATACTCGTGTTTTCCTCATATAGTGAATTGATTTGATGAAAATATCTGAGCCCACTGGCCACCGAATGCTGTTGGCAATTGGGTTAAAAGTCTAACAAACTGCTAATTGTTTTAACAGTCAGCTGTGGTCTAGTGGGCATCGTACTGGATAGGCTAGTTTGTTATGGAGCGCCTGGCTATCCCAGGTTCGAACCCCTCACGAGGAAGAGTTTTTCTGTTATATGTAAACTACTCTAATGTAGACATGATACTTTTATTCACCCAGTCGCTTGGGAAGGTTATCTTGAGGTTATCTTGAGATGATTTCGGGGCTTTTTTAGTATCCCCGCGGCCCGGTCCTCGACCAGGCCTCCACTCCCAGGAAGCAGCCCGTGACAGCTGACTAAAACCCAGGTACCTATTTTACTGCTAGGTAACAGGGGCATAGGGTGAAAGAAACTCTGCCCATTGTGTCTCGCCGGCGCCCGGGATCGAACCCGGGACCACAGGATCACAAGTCCAGCGTGCTGTCCGCTCGGCCGACCGGCTCCTTAAGAGAGGAATCCCGGGAGAGAGGAATCCAGGGAGAGAGGAATCCCGGGAGAGAGGAATCCCGGGAGAGAGGAATCCCTGGACAGAGGAATCCCGGGAGAGAGGAATCCCGGGAGAGAGGAATCCCG